CTTCCTTAAAAGTAAGGACTACTACAATTGCTGTAGTATCCCCATCAGTATGCAGAAACCAGCCTGGAAAAGAGGAGGCTGCGTGGAGACCTCATAGCAGCCTTCCAGTATCTGAAGGGGCTTACAAGGATGCTGGGGAGGCACTCTTCATTATGGACTGTAGTGACAGGACAAGGGACAATGGGTTCAAACTTAAACAGGGGAAGTTTAGATTGGATATAAGGAAGAAGTTCTTTACTGTGAGGGTGGTGAGGCACTGAAATGGGTTGCACAGGGAAGTTGTGAATGTTTCATCCCTGGTGGTGTTCAAGGCCAGGCTGAACAGAGCCTTGGGTGACATGGTTTAGTGTGAGGTGTCCCTGCCCATGGCAAGGGGGGTTGGAACTAGATGATCTTAAGGTCCTTTCCAACCTTAACTGTTCTATGATTCTCATTTCATACTGCAGAACTAATTGTTCTAGCCTATTACACCTGTATCAAGCCAAAACTAGGTAATTGTTCTTTTAAATAAGAATTACTTCTTATATACATAAGTCTGTTGTATTTTAAGAAAAGGAAGCTCACAGAAAATAAGTTAGTCTTACACAAATTATGAAAGAATGAACACAAAAATCACTTATTTTCTAATTTTTTGTTTTGTTTTGTTTTAGTCCTGTTCCTTTCCCCTTCAGCTTACATGGAAGTGAGAAAGAAAAAGAAATTTGAAGTGTGAAACTTGAGAAACAAGTGACCTTTTCACAGTCATCATCTACAGCCTCCTCTTTTGCCTCCAATGGGGTCAACATACCCTTTTCCCAATTTGTTTCACTCAGCCATTCAAATCCACTGATTTGGAAATTTCTGATACCCCATTTTTTTCTTCTCATTCTCACATAATTTGCCTGATGTTTGAGCAGAAAGATTAGCCCTTCTATTGTAAATCTACACCAATAAACTGAACTGATAATACTTACTTATCTAGTTAAATATGTGTCATGAATAGCTTTAAAGGTGCTTTTGCTCTTTCATAAAGAAGACCAGATATAGAGTCACTTAATGGAGGAAAAGAAAATCAGTAGTTTATAATAAGTTGCTCTCTTCTTAACACCTGTTAAAAACCTAGGTAAGACAAATCAAGAAGTTCTGCCAATTTAGGACATTAGGTTTTCCTTCTGCATCTAGAATGGCTTATTAATCAATTAAAATGGGAGAGATCTTGAAGAAAAAATACAAAAATCTCAGAAAATCTAAAGTAGGATTTCCAGTGCCATTAAGGCAATTCACTAATAAAGATGTTAATTAGCTATGCCACCCTTTCCCAGAGTCCTTGTCCTAGCTCTTTGCAGCTCTGTAAGAAATGCAGTTTTAAATTTACCTTTGTAGTCCTCTATAATTTAGCCTCCTTATCTGCAGCTGATCTAATATAGCTACCACCATGCCTGGCATTTATGGCCCACTAGCTTCTACCACAGATGTCCCCGTCCTCTCTCCTCAGACTGCTAGTTAAACATGAGGGAAATCCCTGATCCCAATTTATGTATGGACTCCTACAGAACACGTTTAAAGGTTCATTATGAGCGTAAGGTCCTGCTTGCTGAACATGCCTAGGAACAAGCAATGAATTCTGTGTGCACCTCTTTTTCTCTTTCTTTCCCTGGTGCTTTTAATATTGTTTTCTTTGCTGTACCACATCCTACTTCAGATTCCCCTCCTAAAAATAAACGAAGCAGCTAACAAACCTACACCAACCAATTTGCTGAGATTTATTGCGTTTGTCGTCTGCTTGCATCTTTGAGCACAGCAAGGAAGGGCTTTCTCTCATCTGTAATCTTGCAGAGGGAGGGAGATAGAGCTTGCACTGCCACCATTCCAAACTAATTTCCAAGTTATGGTCACTTGTCAACCCAGTCTCATTGAACAGGTTTTGTTGTAAGGACAAGATCATGTAATTTGTCTTTCTTACTGTATGAAAGAATACATGAATCAGTGGGCCTAATCCTTGCCCCAGAAACATTTAACCCTTTAATTGTGCGTGGAAAATACAAATAATTAGTATTGAGTTGTAAAGCTGATGATCAAAAATGTAGGTTTTCTCCTCCATTCCTGATTTGATGGTTGAGGATATGAAAATACTCTTCAAAAAATCCTCAGCCTTCTTAAACTTATCAGCATAGGATGTGTGTGGTCATCTGAATAGGTTGTATCTTGTAAATCATGGACAACACAAGATGCAGAAGCTTCTGGGAAATAATACATCATCATACATGAAATCATGACAGCATAGGCAATATGTGTGCATTTGTATCCTAACTGCTCATTCTGCATGCTGGGAGCAAACCTACAGCTCTCATCCATATAATTTATGTTGTCTTACAGACTTCCTAGCCCTCTTCCTGCATGTGTGTTTGCTTGGGTTATGGATGCCAGACATGATGCTGGGAAGTGCAGAGCTCTGAGCTTCCATTAAAGTCACCAGGTATTGATAGATCCCAGTAGCACTGAGAAAGAAATACCCCTAGAGTTCATATTACATTTTAAAAGAAAAATAAATCTTGGATTGAAATGAATAAGGGTAAATAGTTGGAAATAAATAAGATCTATAAATTGCTGCAGTCTCAGTGAAAGCCCAAGGGCAAGTATGCTTTTCTTAACTTATCTAGATTTTCTAAGCAGTAATAGACACTGTGACTCAGTTTTCTCTGATAGTTTGTTAAAATCTGAGTATAAAAACTCATACTCCTTGGGTGTAGGCAAAGCTGATCAATATTTTTTTCTAGAGTGCTTATAATAGAAGGATTTATAACCCAAACTTATTGGTGGAAATATTGTAATTTTACTTCATGGTTTTATAGTCAAATCCTAGTCCATTCTGGAGGGACTGTATGTGTTACTACAATATAAATGAGGGCTAAAAATATTTCTCCTGAGCAAAAAACAGAGACTGTATGACACAATCTATACATTTAGCACAGTTTGTTATCAAAGTTGTTCTCCAGCTGTTCCCTGCAGCGGGAATTCCTCCCGTACTCCCATCCACACATGCATACACATAGGCACAACCAGCCATTTTCAAGTGGCTTTTTTTTCCCTCTAAGCTCTGACTTCAAGAGATTGAACAAAGGCCCTCTCATAACCCTGTGTCACTCCTATTGTCAGAGTGAGCTCAGCAGCACTGAAATGAATCAGGTTTTAAGTGTATTGGGTTGAAACCTGAGTGTCAGGAAGGGCGTTTGAAAGAGGAGATCTGCTCTGGTTAACTGTCTCCTAGAAAGAACTGCGGTACCTTTGGTGAGTGGCAGCATGGGGTTCTAGAGGAGAGATTCATCAATGCTTAGAGGGGGAGGAGAGAAACCCAGTGTTAATCTGATGTCTTTCTTCACAGGACTGACATCCTTTCATAAACCTGACACTCTGTATCAAAAGGGAAGCCCTTAGATTCTCATGTTTGGATAATCAATTACAAGTGTTGCTACTTTTTGTATATAGCATTTTTGCCGTGGGAGTCTAGTTAATACACTCCGTTCAGGTATTTGTACTAGGATGCTCATAAAACTGTTCCTGACATGCCAAGATTGCAGGGAGTGTAGGGTAAGCTACTCATGGGATAAGTACTTCTCGTGTGTAAAAGCAAATACGTATCATGGTAGAAAGCAATTGCAAACGCTTTGAACAATATAAACCACTCTGTGGAATAACTTACATTCCAGAAAGATTGTGATTCTTTGAAAAAGCTAAGAAGCATCAGAGTAAAATGTAACATCAGAAAAAAATATTTTTGTAGAAAAGGAAATTGTTTCCGTTTGAATTTTCTGAAGTGGTCCTGAACACATTTGGTATTTGGTCATTAATTGCAGAAGGCCTACATCTGCTAAACTTCAGTTGAATGGGGCTTTGATCAGTCTGGCCTAGTGGTAGGTGTCTCTCTTTTTGGCAGGGAGTTGGAACTATTTGATTTTTAAGGTCTCTTCCAACCTGAATCATCCTATGATTTTAAAATTCCTTAAGCACGTATTTCTAAAGGAGATGAGAACACCTGAGTGCAACCAACTCACATCTATTGCTCCCGTGAGGTTAGCCCTTCATCAGCTGTAGTCTCCCCTTTTGCTAGCTTCCGTTGCATCCACAGGACAACGAGACTTGCTGGAATAAAAAAAAACGCATAGCTGTAGCAGGCGAAGCACGCACAGCATTACTACTCATGGCCCGGAGGTGGTTCCTAGGGGATTCACCTCCAGGATCCCGCACACGCAGAACCCCCGCGTGGTCCCCCCGGGTCGGGAAAGATGCTCTTGCGCGAACCGTGGGGTGAGGGCAGTGCAGGGCGCGGCAGGCCAGGGCGCGGCAGCGCAGCCCAGCCCAGCCCAGCCCAGCCCAGCCCAGCCCAGCCCGGCCCAGCCCGCACCTTGCCTGCCAGTTGCTCGCTCCCCTTCGGAGCGGGGCTCCGCCGCCGCTGGGCGCGCCCGCGCCCGACGAGACGCTGCAGTGGCGGCGGGGGCCGGCAGGGGGCAGCCTGCGCTCGCTGTCGCCGTTGGGCGGGGCGTTGGCCTCTCCGCGTTAGCGCCGATCCCGGCCGCGGGAGGGTGTCTCTAGGCGCGGCACAAGGCGGCGGCCACGCTCCGGGCTCGGGCCTGGCGGAGGGCGACCGCTGTGCGCGCCGCAGTGCGGAGCTGGGTGACAGCAAGGGACGGCAGCGGTGAGCTGGTGGCGTAGGGAGCTGTTTCTGCCTTGGAACCTCGCCTCTCATTCTGGGAGCTCCCGGGCAGAGACGCCGTGCCCCAGCCTGCATCCTGCAGGATTCGTTGAGTGCGGGGCAAATGTGGCTTAGTGAGAGCCGGCATGAAAGGTCCGTGTCGCTACCGGGCGGGTTACATATAACAGAACTAAATGTATCTAACAACTTATACTGGCAACAGGAAACATCTTCCTCCCCCTAAGATTCCGTAAAGCCTTTGTTCTGGCGTCACGTTATTCCAGTGGAAAGAGAAAGGCAGAACTGGCCAGGGAAGGGCCAGCACAGGTAAGAGGGGCATCAGAAGATACAACTTGTTGGCAAATTATTTCCCCTGAGTGAACTCTGGTGGGAGTGTATGTTGATGACGTGGCTCGCTGACAAATTCCGCTGCCTATGAAAAATTGACTTTGTGCAGTAGAGTACATCACGCTGTAAATGTCGCTAGTTACATCAACACAGAGCATGACACCAATTTGAAATGACTGCAGGATGTTTTCTAAACATGTGAACATACAGCTATGTTTTCTTCACGTAATCAATTATGAAGGCAGGTGCAATTTATACAGGCAGAGAAGAAGCTAAGTAATGTAAGAACTGAAAATACAAGCTCGTCATCAGACATGGAGCTCTTTATTCTAGAGGGAGAAATAGTTACTTGGAGACAAAATTGCCAAACAACTTTGTTTTACTTCCAGAGCATTAACTTTAACAAAGTTTAATCTCTGGCAACCAGAAGAATAGGAGTTAAGGCCTGCACACCAGGGCAGAATTAAGATGCCTCAAACTCCAAGCCTGCTTTTTGGGCTGGCAATAGCCACTGGGAAATGTGCGGGTGTTCCTGCTGTATTTACTGCGTCACCTGTTCTTTTAATAAGTGGAAGGAGGAAGTTGCCAGGTTGCGTACAGAAATACATTCCTGCTGGAAGCCAGCTGGTGGAAAGCCACCTTTGGGTGGGGAAACATGAGTTTGCCTGGCCATGTGGAAGAGAGGACCAGGAGTCTTGTTTTAGAGCTGCAGATTGTAGGTCATGTCCTCAGTGCAGCAAAGGATTTTTGTCTTTTTTTTTTTTTTTACCATGGAAATTGCCAGCTGGGATGCTGAAGGTGAGCATGATGTGTACTTGAAACGAGGTAGATGAGATATTTGATGGTACACACCATAGTGTCAGCAGTTGTGCTCCTTTTGTTGAGCATGTTAGGAATTTCACTCAGGTAGGCTTCCCATACAGACAGAAATCCTGAACTAGTATAGGAAATTGCTGAAGAAAGGAAGGCTACAGCTGGGAGAGCATGTATGAAGCACATTTGAATTGCCATAAAGTGTAGTGAGTATATGAACCTGTGGAGTTCACTGTCAGCATTCATTAAAAGGGCAAATATTGCCAGGTGACATTAAAATACCCCTTCTTTTTCCTTTGTGAATGATTGTAAGCCTGTTTGCACTTTACTAGCATGCTATAAAACTAAGGATGCTAAATGGTCAGAGCTGAATGATAGTTCTTCCAACTCTAGAAAGTGGTCTACAGCCAGCATTTCTCATTTGTCTGGCATTCACAATTACTCTGAAATTAGTATGATTTGTTTGGCTTATTACAGAAAAATAAAGCACGAAATTCTATTCTCAAAAAGAGATGGCAACTCACTGGAGACAGAAAAGCTTTCTCTTCTTCTGATGTGGTTGGGCTGAGGCTATAGTAATAAGCTACATGAAGACAATGCCATTGCCTGCAAAGGAGATACTTAACTTTCCATGCGTAACTTACCATATGCAATAGCACTAGCCTATTGGATAAACTTCTGGGGATTAAGTCGTATTTGTGTTCTTTGTAACTGCATGGACTTCGCCACTAATTTGGTTTTTTAGTCACCTTGAGCACTCCTGAGCAGGAAGTGACAGAAAGGTGTCATCACATTCATGTTGTCATTGGCTTCTCCTCCGAAACTGTCAACAAGCCAAAACATTTGAGCCAATTAAAGGTTTAGGCTGAGATACCCTAATTCATTCCTTATAGAGACATGCAATAACCTTAACTTGGGTTAACAGTCCATTAACTGGGTTGGGCCCTGCAACTTTATGGGAGAACATCAACCTTATGCTGGAGCAGAGGTGAAGAAACCACTGTACTTACAGAGAGCTGACCTTTAAAAGAAAAGTGGTTAAACTCCTGCTCTGGGTAAAGCTGCTTACATTTACCCCATACTCCTTCCGCTGAACCTGCTTTGGACATTTAAGCATTCAAGGGTTCGTATTTAGACCATTTCAGGAAAAAAAAAAAAAAATAGAAAAAGAAAGAAGGCTCCAAATATTTTCTAGCAGTCAAGAGGGAGGGTTTGGGGCTTGGGGTTGTTTTTTGGTTAGTGGTTTTAAACCCATATCATTTTATGTGACTGTGCTACCAAGACATCTTAAATATCTAAACTAGGCTAAAGTAAGAGGTGACAGTATTGCCAGTGTTTGCCATTTATTGCTGAAAAATACTCACATTTCACATTTGCAAGGCTGCATTTTTGCCCCTTTTCACTTCCAGGTGTGATAGACATTGGTAAGGGTAAGAGAGTAGGGAGGGGGCTAAAGAGATTCATAATGAAACAAAATGAAACAAAGTTGTCTTCAGAGCATGGAGCTGACCCAAATGGGATGTTGTCGGTGGCAGGAATAATGATTAAGGATAGCAAACACTGCCGATGGACTGTGGGTCAGGTATGGGCTTGCAAAAGAGCATAGTGGGAACAAGAGCTACACTTTAATTTTGGGTTGGGTGTGTGGAGAAACATCACCATGTAACTCTTTGTGAATCAGAGAGGTTAAAGGGGTTAGAAAGCTTGCTTTGGTTTTTAAGGTTAGCCAGTCCTTTGCCTGGCTTTGTTACCAAGGGATTTCCTCCTTCTTCAGCCACGATGGTGCTGGGCCTGGGAAATGCGCCACAGACTCCCAGGAGGGAAGCGTGACCCAGCCAAAGGCTGGATGCTACTGGAACAGCTCACACAGGATTTGTCAGAGGGCCAAGGAAATGTGTGTCAGGCGTCGGTCATTTTTGCACTGTCCCAGGTCTTCCACCCCTGGGAAGAGCTGACATGACTGGTCTTCGCCCTAAGTTATGTTCTGCTTAGGGCTGTGGTGTTGGATTTATGGCATTTGGACTACACTTGTTTTCCAAAAGTCTTGTCTGGAAGTGCCCGGGGACCAGTCTGCACTGCTGGTGATGCCTGGCTGGCTGAGTCTCCCCCAGGAGGGGAAAGCTGCGGTGGCTATGTTGAGCTCCAGTGGGCACCACGGTGTTGGCAGCAGCATGATAGGTATCCTGCTGCTCTGCAAACCACCCCGCACTCCTCGCTCTGCTGCCTTCGGAGCCCGCACGGCACGGAGAATCTCGGTTGAGCGTCCTCTGCCCTCCCCCCCGAGCCAGTCCTGAGGCAGCCCCGATCCTCGCACACCCGAGCGCAGACGCGCCTCTGCCCCCGCGGCCGCCCCGTCGCGGCGCAGTGCCGGTGCTCGCCGGAGGCGAGAGGCAGCCGGCAGGGCGGAGGCAGACGGCGGGCGGAGCAGCTCCTCCGCTGGTCGCGGAGCTAAAAGAGCAGCGCGGAGCGGAGCGCAGCGGAAACCATGGGAAACCGTGTCACCCGCGAGGACTTCGAGTGGGTCTACACGGAACAGCCCCACACGCAGCGCAGGAAGGAGATATTGGGTACGTCGAGGGGCTCGGAAGCGGCCGCCGTCGCGGCTGGCGGCCGGGTTGGATTGCAGCCCTGGAAGGGGAGGCGCGGGCGGAGCTGGGGGTCCAGCGCGGGTTTTTCCAGGTCGGTGCTGAGGGCGGCTCGGGGCACTGGCTAGACTGTGGAGAGGGAGGGCTGCAGCTCGGTGGGCTCGGAGGGGTGCTTTCCCCGCGGGTGCTGCTCTTCCAAGCTCTCCCGACGCCGCCTCACCTTACGGAGGCAGCGGAGCGGAGCAGCGAGGGCACTGGCGGCTGGACGACGTCCTGCTGCACCCGGCTGGCTCCCGGCGGGGTGACACTGCGGGGCGACCCACCGCACCTGCGGCCGCTGCTGCGACCACCCTCCCCGCGCTTCCCCCTGGGCTGCCGGCCCAGCTCCCCGGTCTGCGCGGAGAGCGGCTGGAGCACCCCACAGGCAGGGTTCCCCGATGTCTTGGTAGTGCAATAAAACAAATGACGTGGGTGAATGTTTGCTAGAGAAAGTGCCCGCCGCTCATCAGAGGTGAGGTACTCTCCTATTTCCACCTTGTACACACAGGGATTAACTGTGCGCATGAATGCGTTGGGTTGGGAGGTTTTCACTATTGGGTTGAGGCTTTCCTGAAGATCATTTCTGAGAACTAATAATTCAGAATTGTTGCAGAGCATTGTTGCATATCTCCTGAAAATACATTTTTGACTTTTTATTAATAAAGATTTGTTTTTCTTCTGTTTTTATTTGGGTTGTTTACTTGGGTTTTGTCTTTCCTCTAATGAGTAGGATAAACTTTTAAAAGATCTTTTCTAAAGGAAGGCACCAGAGCTTGTGACTGAGGTGCTGCACAGGACCCATGATAATTAGGGGTATTTTTTTAACTCCCCACAATCTAGTAGATTAACCCAGGATTAATTCAAATTACAAAAACATTTCCATGGTGGATTCTCCTGGTCCAGATTTGAGTTACATCCAGGAAAATTATAATTATTTTACTATGCAATCATGATAGAGAGTCAAATGATGTAATTATATAAGATGATGCTTCTTGGCGTTATGCTACTCACCTTTCCAGTCAAAGGAGCTATGTTTCAGTGAGCTATGGGTGGGGATGTGTATGGTGGGTCTCTCTCCTTGCTAATCTTTTGCTTTCCTATCTTGTTATAGAGTGGGGACTGCAAACCATGATGAAGTTGTATTGTAAAGAAGGGCTGTAGTGGTTGGACTCCTTTACCCTTACTGCAGCAAACTGTTTTTGAGATCTTTCAACTGCATACTTACAGAGGTTTTGCCCCCACTATCTTTGGGTTTAGAATGAGCAACCGGAATCAAGGTCCATCTCCTTCCTCACAGCCTCCATCCCAGCTGTGGGAGCAGAAGGAAAGGCATAAAGACATATAACATGGAAAGAGACATGGAAGATGTGAGCAGAAAAATCTGTATCTGCCTCTGACGAGGCAGAATGGATCATGAAATTAGTGTCACGAATACCAAATTGTTACTGAAAGTTATTGAAATGATCATGACATTGCATGTAATATTGGTATAATGATCATCACTGCATTATCCAAAGCCTGAGGGTCAGCAAACCTGTGGAATTTAGAGTATGAATTTGCCAAAGTGTTTAGTGTCTGTTGAGCTGGAGTGCACTGTAAGAATCCTACATGCATATGAACAAATATCTACAATTGTCCATGTGCTGTGTATGTTTCCGTATATCGCAATGCCTTGGGGACAGCATTCCACACTGGTAAAGGAAGTATTTCCCTCCCAATAGGTTAATGATTTAGTTGCTAGGCTTGTTTTCTGTTTAGGCTGCAGCTTTTTAAAATGTCGTTCTCTCTCAGGCATGGCTACTTGATTTAAATGCAAATGGAATTTATCCATTAGGAAAGAAATATGGGCAAACACATAAGGCAGTTTCTTTCTACATAAGTGGTCTTTCCTTGAGCAAAGTTGAATGTTGCTACAGAGCAACTGAGAGATAGTAATTGTCCATCACGAAGTTGTATGTCCTGGCTTGAGAGTTAGTAGCCCAGGTGTCTATAAGAGTTTTGTAGTTAGTGACAATATGTTTGAATGATAAATCTGTGAATCCAGTCCTCTTACTATGGCCAGGAACACTTTTACTAGTTCAGGTTGCTCAAAGTCCTGTCTAACCTGGCCTTGAACACTTCCAGGAATGGGACATCCACAGCTTCTCTGGAAAACCTGTTCCCTTTGGGCAGCAGAGCTATGAACTGTGTATGTCAACTGGGCTGACTGGCAGCTAGCTTGTGGCAGGATGTTTTGCACTAGATGAACCTATTAGGGATGTGATTCCTAATGGCAATAATTATATCATCAAACAGATCAACATTTTGTGCAAGGGAGAGGTGATACTTTCTTATCTCTTTGTAGTATCTTCTTCTTAGACTCTAGGTATTAAAATGTAGCTTATGCTTGGTACTGTTTGGGTGCCAGCTGCTTCTAAGTTACAGTGGAGATCTCTTGCCAAGCTGGCACTTCTCTCCTGATCAGGTTATTCATGTTCCTGAACATGTTATTCATGCTTTTCAGTTTATGAAATGGAATTGTTTTGTTGCTGTTCTCTCACCCTCTTGTTTGTGAAAAGCCTATTACTGTCTTGTGTCAGGGCTAAGATGTGTGCAGCATTGAAGTTAGCTGTGTTAGGGAAAAACCTGGTAAAAACTAACCTGATGGAAGAAAGATTTTTCATCAGGATCTGCTTAGCCTTGCTATATAGTTATACAAATGCTATTAGAGGTAGGTATATCAAAGGGTATAACATAGAGAGGATAACTACTTCTAGTGTAGAAATAAGTAGTAGTGGAAGTAGAATTTCTACTTTAGTGGTGGTAAGGATCTGTTGGATTCAAACACTTAGAGAACTATGGACTTGCAGCAGGAAGTGTTGGTGGTTTTTTGGTCTTGAGAGCAGATGAAAAAATCATTGCTCAGATGCTGGTAATACAATAAGCACACAATGAATGGTCATTTCACCTGCAAACAGTTTTCAAAATACAAGCAATGGAAAGAATTGCATCTCATTTATGCTGTGGATTTGATCTAGCTTTTTAAAATTACTGTAGGTTGGTCAGAAAATGCCTTGCCTCACAGGATCCTTAGGGAAGCGCTGTTTGCTGCTGAGGATGAGGGCTGAATCAGTGCTGTGCAAAGAGCATCCAAAGATGATCTAACATCCAAGAATAATTATTAATTATATAATTGGGGTTTTGACAAGTTATTTTAGAGTGGAAATGGTGCAAATGTTTTATATGAGCTTTATCCTGTAGAAGGGCTGAGATGTTAGTCTATGGGGGGAGGAGTTAGAACAACTGAAAAAAAAACAAATTTTATTTTAGCATTTAGCTGATTTGAATATAGTAGCTTCCAGCTCTGTTCGCTTATCTAGAAATTAGTCTGCTGTTTCTACCAGCTGACTCTTCTGTTGCATATTTAAACTTATTTATGAAAATTCTGATAAACTGAACATACCAAAATGGGCAAGATGTCTATCTCCTTAGCTTAAATCAAAGCTTTTAATTACAGACGCTTCTGGTAAAGAAACTGAGTTTGTTTCCCCTTTATGTTGCAGTATGTGGGCACAGTGCTGCCATTGATGTGCATGTTTTCTGATGAGCACATTCAGAATAGCTGCTCTTTCATCGCTTATGCCAATTTCCTGTGGGGATCACCTCTAAAATATATCACATGAGCAGAAAGTCACTGTTTTAGGCACTTGTAGTCTTCTGCTGAAAACGTATCAAATACAGTTGAGGGCTTCAGCTTACACCATGCTGCAGGTTTTTGTTTCAGAGGAAGCTGGAAGCCCTCTTTTAGCTTTCCCTACATCCCTTTGCTCTGAATCTGCTAATAAACAAGTGTAAACAAACAGGTCATAGCTGCTGTCATAGTGATGTGCTGACACCATCCATCTCTGTTGTCACCAGCCATGTGGCACTGTTGCAGTGCATTGCCTCTGGTGGCCACTTCTGTGTAACCCAGCTCCCTTGGACCAGCTAGCACAAAGTGATTTAGGAGCTTGTAGGTGGCAAATACAAAATTAGGATCCTCATCCTTTCACAGTGGATATATAAAACTTTAGTATGGTTAGTTGGGCCAAAAAGGTTTCTTAATAGTTTGCATAATAAAGCAGGCAGGAAATTATGCAAAGCCAGAATCTTTTGTCATGCACATTGTCCTTTGCGTGTGTCCTGGCTTACGTATGGTTTGATTTAATCATAGAATAGTTTGGGTTGAAAGGGACTTTTAAAGGTCATCTAGTCTAACCCTCCCTGCAGTAAGCAGGGACATTTTCAACTAAATCAGAGCTAAGAGCCCTGTCAAACCTGACCTTGGATATTTCCAGGGATGGGGCATCAACCACCTCTCTGGGCAACCTGTCCCAGTGTTTCATCACCCTCATAAAAAAAACTTTCCTCCTTATATCTAGTCTAAATCTACCCTCTTTTAGTTTTAAACCATTAACCCTTGTCATACTGATACAGGACCTACTAAAAATTTGGCCCCATCTTTCTTATAAGCTCCTTTTAAGTATACTGTAAGGCTGCAGTAAGGTCGCTCTGAAGCTTTCTTTTCCCCAGGCTGAACAACACCAACTCACCTCGTCTCCATAGGAGAGGTGCTCCAGCCCTCTGATAATTTTTATGACCCTTCTCTGGATCCACTCCAACAGGTTCATATCTTTCCTGTGCTGAGGACTCAGGTGTGCTGTGCTGTTTAGGAACATGTTTATGAGTTGAGCTGCTAAAACACAAAGCACTGTCATGTCAGCAAACTGACTTCTTTTGTTTTATTTTGTACAAATACCAGCTCCAGCATAGGGCATGACACAGTAAAGCTAATATCTTGTGCCCGTTGTCTCTTATTTGTTCTGGCAGGGACTTAGAGTTGACAGAACATGGTCCAGGGCAGCAGTATCACAAGAATCCCCACACCCCTTTCTTTATAACAGGCCTTCTAAAATTCTTATACTGAGTACTATCTCCACTTGGACTATACCTGTATACTGCACTTGTGGTCAAAATAAGGGAAGATGAGAAAATGAAACTTCTTCTCTTGTTACTACTAGCTTCTCATGGATGCAGGCAGGGCTGTGGCTCTTTTAAACCTCCATTACCCCTGTGTTTGTGGACAGCTCCTGTTCTTGCCCACATCCAAATCCAATGTATGTCAAAATGTGAGAACTAAACATGTGGTGTCACATCAATGAGAAATTGTGTCTGGTGCCATCGCTGAGGTCTAACTGGGTCTCTCCTGAGTCATTCTAGGAACACGTCAGTAGGAACAGAGGGTGAGTGAGGGTTCAGAATAAGATACTTCCTGTCTCCTGAGGAGGAGGAACACAAGGACCTAGCAGCTGATGGCTTCTCGAGGAAGAATTACTCCAGTCCTAGCTGAGGGTCAGCGTAGGGCTATGGTGAGCGCTCCTGGATCTCCAAAGAGGACCATCAAGGTAAAAAATACGTAGTCAGAGTAACCTGTCAGCAGTGTTTCAGAGGGAAGCATGGCTCTAGAAAAATGACTGATGCTTACACACAACAGTGGTGTGCTCTCTGTGAAATGCTAATTCAGTAAATGAGTTGTTTCAGAATCATGAGTGACTCTGAAAATATTCTTGCAGCATTCGTTGTCTCTTGACTGCTGTTCTTTCATCCACACTGTTGTACAAATGCGAAATGCTGTCTTTCATTGTCATGGTACAGACATGTTATGGTATAGAGACCATGGAGCTGGCTGGGCAGAATTATTAAGTACATCTACCCACTATACTAAAGTGCTTGCACTGCATTTGCAGTGTGCTGACCTCGGAGACAGAAAAGTCACGCTTCTGCACTGCTGTACATCTACACCAGTATCCCCATCCTCTCAATTACATAAAGGCTCAGTCTGGACAACTAGAGGCAGCACATGTGGATAAGCTATCCGCCACATGGAGCTAAGAGTCTTTCTCAATAAGCTGCAGGCTGGAAAACATGCTGTGGAGTCAACAGAGTAGTTGGAGCTGTTCTGGTTCCATTTCCCTCTACCTCCTATTCCTGTGCCCCTTCATGCCATAATTACACATAATGAAGAGCTCAATACAGATTACATTTTATGCCCATCATCATGCATTATCCCTGACCCAGTGCTTGTTGGGAAGCAATGGACTCTGGTCATATAGTTGATCATTTTTGTAATGGAAAAGTACTGAGGAAGACCAATATGGAAGCAATTCAGGAAAGAGCAGCATGATGAAAATCTCTGCTCATATGCAGTGTGAAAGTTTTGCAGTTTCAAGAGTAGGTGTCTGTTTACTTTTCTAAGTGCAATGTGTAGGAGATGAAGGTGGTCTTTAATGTGTAGCTACCACAGGTCTGATAGTCCTTTATGACTCCTGGTTCAGCACTGCACAGTAGCCCTGTGTCTTCTCTGTTACATTTGGGATGTGCAGATGGATGATGTCTGGTTTGAGCAGCATCTACAGACACTTGTCTCAGCAGTCTTACAGGGTTACCCAGGTTCTTCAACTGCAAGTGCTCTATCTTGCCTTATTAGCATTGCTTCAGCTTACTGCAAGGAATGAACATGAGGGAAAAATGAGATGCATATTGATGTTGTCACATTTTTGTGTCATCATGTTATATATAAACCGCAGTCATTAGGATCACTTAATCTGACATTAAATATGTCTTGCTGAAGAGTATGTGGCCTCAAGTTTTGAAAGGGTCAGCATTCAACATTTTGCATGTGAAGTGCTCCTGAACCAAAAGGTCTACCTACTAGCAGGCTACTCTACCAGTGGGGGTTTTAGCCTCCTGTGAGCCAAGCAGACCTAGCTCTCCTAGCTCCCTGAGGTTCCCCCATGCCACGGAAACAGGAAGGGTTTATCAGTATTAATGATAAACAGACACAGTCTTGTGGTTTAACCAGTATGCAAAAATTTACTGCTGGAGAGGAGTTAATAATGTGTTAAATTTAACATTAAACCCTGTCAAGTTACTTAATAGCTGTCACCTGTGATAAATGCAGCCTACCTGCACTGCCGCTTTCAGGCACTGTTGCTGCTGGTTGGCAGTCACTGCTCTGAAACCTCTTAAATCTAATCTGCAGTCCTTGTTAGCTGCAACAGAGAGAGATAGGTTGAAAACTTTAATTTTCCTCAAGCTACAATGTAAAGCATCTCTTAGTCATTTCCTTATCCCATTCAAACAATATATATTTTTTTGTTTGGTCAAAGTGGCCTCAATTTGACCAGGCTGAGGAACAGATTTAGTTGGTTTACCTTTCTTCATCCCTTCTGGTGACTGCAGTAACTTATCTCCACCAACCACATGACTGAAAATTTGAGGTGGTTTGATTTATTAAAGGGTTTTCCCGGTGTCAGACAGATGCGCCCAAGCAGGACACTAAGCTTCACAAAATTCTATTTCTGTAACAGATTTTCTGGCCAGGTCATTATATCAAGTTATTCTCTAGAGTGGATAGACCAACAGTTAGTGTAAAATTTTGGTACTTGTGTAGGTACCAGACAGCAACTTCTAGTGTGTTAGCATTCCTGGTGTGAAAACCATAGTTTCAAAAACTGCAAACCCAAGGACAAAACCAAAACAGCAAAATAAAAACTATGGGCTTTCCAGAGATTTTTATTGAAAACCTTTCCCACCACTTAGGGTAATAGCTCTCTTGCTTGAATACTCCTCATGGTGATTTTTGCCCCTTGTCCTCACAAGAGGAAAAATTAAGAATATCTCTTTTTTCATCATCTTCCACAGCATTTGTATCATCTTTATTGCATCTAACCTTTGTCAAGCTGGGCTGAAGTGGGCCAGAAGGCTCAAAATTTGTTGGAAGCATGAGCAGAGCATGACCACATCAACGTTTCCTTAAGTAGTGTTTCATGTCTCTGATGAAGCACCTGCAGACTTGTCAGGGTTCACTTCTATAAACAACCTTCTCTGAGTCTGCCACTGAGTACCTGCCACTGCCTGCAAGGTCACATGAAGTTATGTGTATCATCTCCAGTGTTTGTAGTATATACAGCTGCATAGATGAAAATCATAATAATCCAATTTTATTGCATTGATACCATACTGTTACAGTCAGATGATATTCTCTATCATAAAATCCATAAAAGTTTTCTAGTTGTAAAATTTGCCCTTCAAATTTACACGAACACTAACCTCAGGGTTCAGAGTGAGTGACTTGTCCTACAGTCTTATCTGTGTAAGCTGTAATTACTGAGAAATGCAGAGTATGAGTTAAAGGAGGGAGGCCAATAGGTGCCTAAAGGCCATAAAACAGTGGAAAAATTTAGGTGTACGTTAATAGTGGAAGTGAGAAGTATGGGTTTGTAAAGAAGAGACCCGAAACAATGGACAGCACCTGGAAGATAAACTGCATTTCTGAGTATTTTCTTTTTCTTAAAAGGCTAAACAAATAGCCAGTAGAACCACAGATCAGTAACGTGGTCTTGTCCTGGCGCAAGTCAAGCCAAGCCGTGTCTCTCTGATACTGTATTGTAGCTTTTGTGAAGCTGCATGGAGCTGTTGCACTCTATGTGACTTTCATGCCTAGTTTTGGTATGTGACTTGGGAACAAGCTAATGAATGAGAACAGAGAAAAATGTTCTGTCTTACAAATTCCTGATTATTTTGCTGACTTTCTTGTGATGTTACCATGTGTAAGGAGTTGTACATGCTGTAAGCACTGGTGAACACTCAAATACTTAGGAATTTTATTTTTTTTTAATGCTACATTTGTCATCTAACCACAGAGCAAAACCTGACAAGCCTGTTGCTCAGCCTTATTTCTCTGCTGTACATCTGAAGCAACAGTGTGAAAAGGGCTACAAAGAGAGCAGTTGTATCCCTTTGTGGAATATAGCACCTGGGCTAGGCAAAATATAAAAGGAAATAAAAAACTTACAGAAGGTGTTTCTTAGAGCTTAAACCTGATGGGTTTGGCATATTAATACTCACCATTCTGAAGGCACATATTGACCATCAGAGTAGTTTTTTTATGTGACTCTATACGTTTATATTTAATAATATCAACCACAATTGGACATGATGCTGAAAGTGGGAATAGAGGCCATACATTAGTAAAATTTTCACTGTAGTGGCAATTCCACTTTGGAATAGCCATTTGATAAATCTAGGGCCTCAAACAGAGGGTGATGAAAATAGAGAGCCCAGTGGTGATTACGTATACCTGACTGTGATCTAATGAGATATTTCTCTTCATATTTCCCTTTAGCAAAGTATCCAGAAATCAAGACTCTCATGGGACCAGATCCACACTTAAAGTGGATTGTATCTGGAATGGTTTTCCTGCAGTTTCTAGCATGCTACCTGGTAAAAGACTTATCTTGGAAATGGATTTTTTTCTGGGCTTATGCTTTTGGGGGTTGCATCAACCACTCACTGACCCTAGCCATCCATGATATTTCGCACAACGTCGCCTTTGGGAATAAGCAGACCAAATGGAACCGATGGTTTGCAATCTTTGCCAACTTGCCTATTGGCATCCCTTATTCTGCTTCCTTCAAGAAATACCACATCGACCATCATCGGTATCTTGGTGGGGACAGCCTGGATGTGGACATTCCCACAGACTTTGAAGGATGGTTTTTCTGTACGCCGCTTCGGAAACTGCTTTGGCTTTTCTTCCAGCCTCTGTTCTACAGTCTGAGACCACTGTATGTGAACCCCAAAGCAATTACACAGATGGAAATTTTTAATGCTCTTGCCCAGTTTTCCATAGACCTTATAATTTATTACCTTTGGGGGCTCAAACCTATTATTTATTTAATAGCAGGTTCAATTCTTTGCATGGGTTTACATCCCATTTCTGGACACTTCATAGCTGAACACTACATGTTCTTAAAAGGGTATGAGACATACTCTTATTATGGACCTCTGAACTGGCTCACCTTTAATGTAGGCTACCACATGGAGCATCATGACTTCCCCAGCATTCCCGGATGCAGATTGCCAATGGTGAGTATGGCATGAGCACAAGTGAATTGGATTTTTGTAAAAGCTGCTAAACTGTCTCAAAGAAATCACTCCAAATCATAGCAATGGATCAGTTTTGAAAAGAAAAAAAAATTTTGTTTTTCATTTTTTTCTAATTCTTCCATTTCAAGCAGGAGATTGAGAGAAATGGCTACCAAACTGCTGTAATATTTAGTTTCATTTATGGAAACAAGAACATCTGAGCCTTACCGGTCTTGAGGAATACTTCTTGATAAAACCCTCCAACAACGCTCTAAATTTCTCAGTTTTCTTCCTTTAGCCACTAGCTTTTATCTCTTGGAAAGTTTAAAGGCCCAGCTAAAGGAAGGCAGGTGGCAATTACTACTTGAAATTTGTCTAACGATCAATCTGCTAATTATATTGCTTGATTAACATCAAACAAAAGTCTTTCTATATTTGAGATGACGTAAGTATTGGGGCATGTTCTAGCCTGACACAAATAGCACTAGAAAATAAAGCCCCGCTCTACATGACTTGTTTTAGCTCTGCTGCCCCCCCCCAGAAACTGAGGGTGATCTGTCATTCGGAAAGTGCTGCGTCTTTCCTCTTTTGAAAGTCAAGCCACTTTTTATTTATGTTTTATCAGTTGTGGGAATCAAATTTGCAAAGCCCAGGTGTCTAGGAATGGTTTTCAATCTGCCTCCAGGTACGTAGCTGCTCTTCTGGGTTTTAATATGAGGGTTCCTGAACACGTGCTCACAGTGTTAGAGGTACGTGACTTCAAAGTATTACTCCTACATACAAATCCTCTGGCGTAGTAGGAAGGAAACATCTTCTGTTGCTGGTCCGATGCAAAGTTGGGGGCTACATCCTTATGAGGTGGAGATAGAGCTGAGGAATCTGAAGTTCAGGAGCTGTGACCTCTTGCTCCTGTGTAACACGTGCAACTTTTATGATGGTATGTCCAGGCAAACCCTGATTTATGGTTCAATGTAACAGAAACACTGTCTGAGAGGAGATTTAAAGCAAGAGGAGATTTTCTTGTGGTGTATAAGAGTGTGGGGAGCCCCCATATAGCCTGTAGTTCTGTTTTACTGCTGGAAGTCTGTCCTGAAGAAGCTGGCCATTCTTGGCAGGGTTCAGAGCAGCTGGTAAAGCAGCCCACGTTCACATGTGAAGTTCTCCTGACAGGCACTCCCATTGCTGATACACCCGATAGCTCAGTGGGGAAGTGCCTGAGCTTAGCTTTAGTTTGAAATGTTCAAACTTGTTAGATAGGCTTAGATACTTAAATTACTGAAATGTAAATAGAAGAAAAAGTTAGCTCTGTATCTTATACAAGGGAGGTGAGTGACTAATTGAACTTTCTGGGACTGTTGCTCCAGACCTGATTGAGACCTGCAAAGCTCTTCCCCACCTACCGCACAAACAGTTCAGCCTAATTCCTTGAGGCAGTGTAGCAGCTGGAAGTGTCTGCCCTCCTGTCTGAAGAGGAAAGAGTTATTAGTTGAATTTGATGGGCTCATGTTCATGTTTTTCTCACTCTCGGGCAACTAGGACTTGCACTGCTGGTGGAGGAGATATCAGGCTTGTTAATCATTGTTGTCTGTCTGAACTATATGAAAAACTGAGTCTTTCACGAGTGATCAATCACAAGTTTGAATGTATTAGGAAGTGAAAATCCTTTGGCAAACAGTTACTGAAAAGAATCCTTTGTCCACTAAAACAAGTTGTTTTTTTTTTTTTGCCTCGAAATGAGAAGAATTTAGGGACTGTAGTGATAAGACAAGGGGTAACAGGTTCAAACTTAAACAGGGGAAGTTTAGACTGGATATAAGGAAGAAATTCTTTACTGTAAGGGTGGTGAGGCACTGGAATGGGTTGCCCAGGGAAGCTGTGAATGCTCCATCCCTGGCAGTGTTCAAGGCCAGGTTGGACAGAGCCTTGGGTGACATGGTTTAGTGTGAGGTGTCCCTGCCCATGGCCAGAGGGGTTGGAACTGGATGACCTTAAGGCCCTTTCCAACCCTATCTATTCTGTGATTCTATAAAGAAAAAATCTCTGCCTCTGGTGGAAAGACATAAGGGAACAGAGTCTCTCTGGAGAGCTTTAAGGTTTGAACTCCACTGCAGGTAGGGGTAGAATCCTCCCCTTGCTCTCCTCTGCTTAACCTCCCAGCAAATTCCTCACTCAACAGAAGTGCATTTTTTTCAGATCTAGTCTCTTACACACTTCAAATAGCTGAATTGTGAAATATGGCTGACCTTTAAATCTACATATTTTAATTTTTAATAATTGGCAAGTGAAAAGTGAAATAAAGATCTTTATTTAGTTCCTACAGGATTGAGAGCAGGGGAAAAAGAGGATCAGAGAATAACTGGATCTTGGAAACTAACTGGCTCTTCTGCTTGCTTATCAGAAAAGTAAATTCAGTTTTGTCCTTTGTTACAGGCGTGTCATTCAGAATGTTCTGAGTAATGTGTTTGCCACTGGAAAGACCTTTGAAAGAGGAAGAGTTAGGCTGTGCTATAAACTTACAGATATTAAGGATGAATGACATAAGGGTGCAGTAAGAACTTGTCCCACTAGTGTAAGAGAGATTATGCAAAAGACCATGAACTTTAACATTACAATGAAGGACCTGCTGTAAAAAAAAACAAACCCTAGGACGGGATCAGTCTTTTCATGAAGGCTTATAATTATAAAACATTGCATTGCTTATGAAATGGGTAAAAGAGCCATTCTTCATTATCTGGAGGATTGAATATATTTATCAGAGAGGGGACAGGTGGAGGAGAAACTCAGTACTTGTCCTACAAACTGCAATAAAAACTGCAGCATTACCAGGGGCAAACTAGTTACTCATTAAGCTTGTGGGAAAAGACATGGTATGCAACCAGATTTATTAGACAGACAAGACTGGAAAACATGGTAGATGTGCTGGTTTTGAATTGCAGATTGCCTTAACCCTGTGATGGCCAGGAAGGCTAGCTTGAGTGCTCCAGGGCTGGTCAAGGACTATAGAATAAGCTTCTGTAATGTGCTTTCTAGCATTCTAAAAAAACTTTTTCAGTCTTGTCGTAAGGATCTCTAGTTTATGTATAGGTCCAGGACAAAGGGTCTATAACAGCTGTGGTGATTACTAGGTCGCATTTAACTTTTGCACCTACCAGATACAATGGTGTTGGATTGGAGTCCTGTTCCTGGGCTCTACAAGCACAAAAGCAGAAGAAAACTTTCAGTCTAAAAGATGTGATTTCTTACCTACCACCTTGATCTGTTTTAAGAGAAGCCTAAAGATACCAGATGCCAAGTGCCTGATAAACTTCTTGCAGATTTTGAGATCTCTTGTTATCCTTGCATGGACCCTCTCCAAAGCAATATGGAGAGCTTGATGGGGAAGTCAGGATCAGAATTTAGGAATACTTTGTCACAGTGCAATCCTCTTTGAGACTATCTCTAATCTGGCTGCAAAACTCGCAATACGGAAACTGCAGTTTTTATACTGCACCCAGAATGCAACATGGAGGATGACTCTTTCAGCCTCAAACATACTTAATAAATTTAGTTAAATGTTGTATTTAAAAGGGAATCTGCATTTAAACATAATTACTGTCTTCCCACCCCCAGATTTTATGGTAGGTATGGAGGAGATGATAATTTTGTTTTACATATGGAGATGCTGAAAGAAATTATAATAGATGAGCTGGTTTTGTTGTGAAACTTCTGCACAGATTCATTGTAAAAGAGAAGCCATTTCAAAAATTCTTTCCTGCCATGTGATAGCAAAATGGGAACATGCATGTAACACACTTCCTTGTCTTTTCCAGAAGAAAACCCTTATTTTCCATTTTCCCGATTCCTCTGTCGCAAATATTTTACTGTAGTTTACCTTCTCCTCTCTGTTGTTTCAGTGCATCCCATACAACTGCCCTGCCCAGAGCACAGGGACCTTCCCAATGGTGGAAGTGCTGCCTGCTTTCCTGCACAAGGTGCTGCTGGGCACAAAGCCAAGCAAAGCAAAGAATCACTTCATGTAGGTGTGAATCACTGTCCCATGGCTGATCTAGGGTGACACACTCCAGTGCAAGTCTCTGATTATCTCTTGTGGTTTCCATACTGACCTTCTCAGCCAGAATGATCTGCCACCATACGCTGCAGGAAGATGCTAAACAGATACACTTCGTGAACAAGCAACTCTTCTGCCAGCTGATGCTGAAGCAGGCTGCCTGCTTCCAGAATATGATGTGTATGAGCTTCAAAATTCACTGCTGATTATTCTTATTAATCATCTTACTTATGAAATCACACCTGTATTCTAGGTGTCCATTTTAAATTCATAATGCAACTGCAGAATATGTGTATGGAATATATTTAAGTTCAATTTTCCAGACCTGTATGTTGTGTCCACCTGAGCTTTTCAGCACTATGCCTAGACTATATTGCTGCTCGTGTTTGCTGAAAACACAGAAGCTACTGGGTTGAACATAGATGGGCTGTTTACTGGCCACTTCTTGGAGCTCTTTATTTCCTGCTTCATCACTGGGGTAATTTTTAGTTAGCCTTTAGTGCCAGAGGGCACAGCTGTTCCCTGAAGCATTGTTCCTAGGAGCTGAATTGTTTTTTGTTAATCTCCAGCCATCTGCTTCCAAGGGGCAATACAGAAAGACTTTCTGAAGCCCTCATAGCCATCAGTCTAACATGATCAAGAGCTCTGCAGATAACTAGCTGAGAAAATGTGTCTGCTTCAGAGCATTGTTTCTGTGAGCAAGAAAAAGCTCTGGAGGGGAATGGTAGACTTGTTAAATGAACTTGGCTAGTATGGATGAGGGCTAAATTACTGTTGCAAGTCAAAATTCAGGCAGAACTTCTAAAATGGAGGTAGGAGGGAAGGTCTGTAAGCAGCAGTGTGCTGGGAATGACCATGTCAGAGCCGGAGTGAAGCTTTTGGGGCTGGGTATCTGAAACTCCCTCTGTGTTTGCAGCAGGCCTTAGTAGTGGCTTTCATTCAAGGGAGTCAAGGGAGCTTACAGACCTTCCCTTGAAAGTAGGATATAGGGAATTATTAGAAAGTTGGAGGTATTCAGTGAAAGGCAGAATACAACCAGACCTGAACTGAATCTTCTGCCTCCAACAGAGCATCACCATGCCATGAGCACAGGGAATGCTTAGGGGCTGAGGTAACAAGGTAAAAGATCTTAATGAAACTTGTATGTTACCAAACTATCTCACAGAGAAGTGTCTCCTAGGAAGCTGAATTAATGAGGTAACTATCAGTGAACCATACTGACTTATAATTTAACTTTTGCTGGGATTCTTACCTTTTTATAGTCAAAATGCTGTGTTAAGATTTCACTGTTACAGCTCAGATGCTGATGAGACTCTCCTCCTGGATGACAATTGTAACCCTTTTGCTCTTCACTGGAAACCTATGCTGTGCTCAGCATAGCTGGCTTTAAAATTCTGCAGAGTTTTTAAAGAGAGGAGTCATGCTGTCCAGCAAGACAAACTACTCTAGAATAGAGCTGTGTGTCTGGGAGGTGGAGCTGCAGTAAAACCATGCCCAAGCAGTTTATGTGCAAGTGTACAATAGTTAGCAGACTTTGCTGCTTCGTAAGTGTGTTCAGAAAGCAGAGCATCTAGCTAGAGCAGGAACTACTGACAACTTGGGAATCCTCATAGTTCCCTGAACCTGCCAGGTCTGAAACCTCTTTGTCTTCTGGTTCCAGCCTTACTCCTCATACAAGTGCCGCCCCCAATGGTGCACAACGATTCTCTGATGGCAACAGTCCTAAGGCTTGGGGATTTGTAAAAGGGATGAAATTTTATTAGACTTTTGACCTAATAATGAATCTTGCAGCATTTTTAACACCAGGCTGAGGGGGACAGACCACCCTTGCAATTTCCTCTGCCTGCTGGAGGAACCCATCTCTCAGATTTGAAACACACTAGCAGAATCAAGATAAAAAAGCCCTGAAGTGCAGGTCAGGCTGTGTCTGGTATTTTCTCAATTGGTATTTCTCTCCTACCCAGAACCCTCCGAAGACAAGCATTATGAGTGGTGAACAGGGCTTTAAATACAGGTTGGTTCTCAGTCATTTATAAAGTGGATTAGGCATTTTATTGTGGAGATCACTCCGCCACCAAAATGAGACAAAATAGCTCTGACTGAAAGCAGTGATCCATCATCTTTCAAATTCTGACATTGTGAGGCAAAGTTTACATCAGAAATCTGCTAAGAAGTATCTAAATGTGTTGGCTGAACTTCAGAAGCTCACAAGCAGTTAACAAGTAACTTCAGGTTATGGCTGTGCTATCAGATCTAAATGCAAGGACTGAAACACACCTGACACTGCAGCTAAATAGATCTTTCTCTCTCTTCTTCTTCCAGGTGAAGAAGATTGCAGCAGAATATTATGATAACCTTCCACATCACCAGTCCTGGATTCGGGTTCTGTGGGACTTCGTTTTTGATGACACAATTGGTCCTTATTCAAGGGTTAAGAGACTGTGCAAGCTGGCAAAAGAAAGCTAACAGACTAGCTCTGCCAGCTGCATTGGTGTTTTGTTCATTTGAATACTTCTCTGCAAAGTAGGAGGATGTTTGTGTGTGCTGAATTAGCATTGGTGTGTGCTCCTTAGACGAAGTGGATAAGTATGGAAATGAAGCAATTGGATGCACTATTTTAGACTATTGATACTTTTTAATAAAGGATATTTGTGTATGTAACCTTGAGAAACTAGATTAGAGTAAGCTATGATTATGTGAACTTTTGGCCTAGGCTTAGAATTAACTTCCTGGGCCACATGTGCCTACATCTGAGTTTTGGCCTTATCTGAATGTAGAATGCTTGATGCGTGTATGCGTGAGCATGAGTGTGTGTAGTTTTGGACTGGTTTCCCTTCATGCCAGGTAAGATGTAGATGCTCTGTGTGCACAGGACTGTGGAAGCAGGGAGGACTGGCACACAGTAGTAAAAGATACTTTCTGGAGAACACAAGAGTGCCTTTAGTTCAATGCCATATCTAATCCAGTATCTTCCGATAATTGATGGTAGCTGAGATTTTGTATATTCAGTGGAGTATGTGTATGTTTTTTGTACATTTGTATCATTATTTCAGTAGCCGCTGTTTGACCTTTACTCCAGGACTTTGTCTAAACCTTTTCTGAATGCATTTCTATTCATCAGATATAACTCATTGTACCTAACTAGCAGAGCTGAACTGTGGTGTGGAGAAACCCTTCCTTTAGTCCTCTGCTGGCTGCCTGATCAGCAGCAGGATGTGCACATGGAGAAACCAGGCAGTCCTTTCTCACCCACCTGTTCAACAGTGTTCAGAACTTTGTGTTTCTCATCCGTTTCCTCACTGTAAGTCTGTTTGGATATGGAAGGATTCTCGTTTTAATTACTGCTTGCCAAGGTTGTTAACATTCCTGATCACCTCTCTTGGTCTTCTCTACATTATACCTGTTTCTGTGCATAAGAGTTAGGAGTATGTGTCAGTGAAGACATGGAGACATTACGGTGGTATTTGTTGCTAACTGCTTTTAGAATAATTGGAAGTTTTTTCCTCTGTCATTCAGGCACACCAACTTGACATTTGGGAAGCATGTGGTTCTTCAGCTCTTTAGAAGTTGCCTCTGATGGTGTTAAAGAGATACACATGGAGCTAGGGTTGTTTCTCTCCCTACATGTCTTACTTTGGACTACTGACATTAGCCTTCACCTGCCATTTCCACCCAGTGGAACAGTTAAATTGTCCTGCCTGAACTCTCAAACTATAAACTTCTGCTATCATGAATAATTCTGTATCATCAAAAATCTTATTCACCGTACCTTTCTCCAAGCAGAACAGTATCTTGGGGGTCAGGAATTCAGATGCCATCTAATAACTTTTCTCCACCCTGGAAAGCTGATGACTTATTTCTATCCTTAGTAAACGGTTAAAAGAGAGTTCTATAAAGGCCTTCGTATACTCTAACCCTCTAACAATTTAACTTTTATGTTTTCTCCTGGAAATCCATGTCTGTAGCAAAGGAAAGGATTATAGTGCATTCTCATTGGTTCCTCAAAGTATGTTATTAGATCTGGGAAGCCCAATTTCCTTAATATGCATAATTTCATTCTTTCCTTCTACAGCACTGGATCCAGTAAGCCTGTCTGTTTGCTACCTGGCACATCAGGCAGCCAAGCTAGCCTGTTCCAATTCGGGTTCCTCCTCCTCCATTTTCCCTTTCTCCATTTTTCTCATCTGTCCGATGAATCTGGTAAATACACAGGTTTGCTCAGTGGTGCAAGATCCTTTGTGATGCAGGGCCAGAATACCAGTTCATTCAGATACTGTTTTGGTCAGTGGTTTGTGCTTCTGGAAAAGAAGAGGAAGACTGGGGCCTATTCTGACACTTCAGACTTGACTGGTTCTTCAGTGAAGAACATACTTAAGATGTTATATCTTAATTATTAAAGCCTTTTTTTTTTTTTTTTTTCTCCCAGAGGAAGAGGTTTTGGTGTGGGAATCTCCATTAACTTCATTGTATCAGTGCTCATGTCAGGAAGCTTCAGGCTTTTATTAATTCACTTCAGAGCTGCTGGCACTTCACAATCACATACTCAACTTCATGTATGCTTCCTGAACTCTCTTGGCTGACTTAGCAAGTTAATATAAAAACCACAATAAAGATTATACTATCTATCTTCCTCAACCTGACTATTGTCCTCCTCCTCTATGGCAAGTGACCTTTCTATAGTTCTTTACTCAGCTGTTTCATGATGCAGTGACATATGCGGTCTACAGATTACTAGCCTAGCCTGACACAGAGGCTATGCTGTAAGCGTGAGTAACCAACCTGGCAACTGCTTCTTGTCCTGCCTCCCATCAATATTTTCATCATGGTATGGGCAGATGTGTGGTGTGAGCTGTTTCACCGTGTGGGTGTTGCTGAAGAAGGCTGTGATCTCATCCTTTGCATGGGCATTTGTCTTGGCCACGACCATTAATGTTGGCAGCAGGGTTTTTTTGATAACCACAGAGTATGTGGGTCTGGGTTAAAAGTACATTAGGGCTATGTATAGGTTTATTCTCTTCACTTAATAATAAATTCAGATCCACTTCACTGTGTGGCCACACTAATGCTCTAGCAAGAAGAGATAGGAGTAAAATTGCTGTATTGAAGTCAGGAGTGGAAGTTAATGCCTCCTTTGATTTCTGCTACGTAAAATGCCTATGGCCTGCCCTGTTGTAGCGGCTCAACAAGCCCAGCATGAAAGGACACCCTTCTCCACAGAGTAAACAGGCAACCTGACTTAGTGTCTGGGAGGTGAAATCCTCTGGCATTGCCACTACTGCAAATAAGCCACCCTGGGCACCCATCCCCATAAGCTGGGAACCAGCAAAGTGCTAGTGCTGGCAGGTCTGCTCTCCTGCTCCTATCAGCCAAGCTTCCCCTTCCACTTGGGTACACCTTGCTCCTACAGCTATTAAGTGGCCCTGTGCAAACTTCAGCTTATTATGTCTTAATTATATGAGGCCTGCAAAGGCAGAAGAAGAATGTAGTAAAAAAAACTCATTTACAGCAGGTGGCTGATGTTAACAGAGGGCACACCATATCCAGGGTGTACGCTCGGCCTGAATTACAACATGGTTATTACTGACCTCAGGCATAATGCCACATTCCAAGAGAGAAAGTGAGCCATGCCAGCCCCCAGCTTCCTCAAGCTTAAGTAAGATTATGGGAGAGTTTCACAGAATGGTTGTGATTATCTGAGAGGCAGCAGTTTTGAAAAATACTTGACATTGTCAGGTTTGCCATTAAATGGGTTTATAATTAAGAAACACATGAGCTACTGTATGAGATCATTATAATCTCTGCTGTTACTGATCCTTGCCTGTGCTCTTCATACTGGAAAGGCTCCTTCTTGTGCTTCGGGGGCTGTTGTCTGGGGTGCACATCAATGTCTGACAGCTTTAATTCCCATGTGGAATCTTACCTCACTGTTTAACCTGTCTCTCACCTCCTGCTGGCATTAAATGGCTAACAGCCATCAGGCTCAGGCTGGAGCTCACTGTTGCATGGACTTCTGTACTTAATCTGCAGTAGACCCACATTGTAAAGACTAGATTGTCTTCTAAAAGGCAGACTTAATTTGAGGAGTGCTAAAGAGCAATCCCAAGCCTTTCAAGCCAAAGCAGGTAACATTTTACAACTAACTGCAAAGCACACTTCACCCTGTCTCCTCTCCTGGGTCTGCTCAGGCTCTCCTGCTCTGTGGCACTGGCTGGGCAGAGCTGTCAACCCGCAGCTGAGCCTCAGTCACTTTCCTCTCATCATTAACTCAAGGGATGTAAAAGTGCAGCTCAAGTGATGAATGAAACAAAGAAAGGCAGGGCCAGGTGGACAATAAACAGTTTATTACCAATATGAACACAGATACTGTGATGCACTGACGTACCATTTTTTTATATTGTGATAACTCTGAGACAAAGAACTTGTTGGCTGACAACTAACATGTCTCTGTTTCTTCTTGTGATGCCTCAATATGTTTCTGTTGGCAAAGGATCTTCATTTACATTGCAGACTACTAGTAAAATTACTTTGAAGTCATCTATCAAAAGCAAATGGTTCACATGTGTTCTTATCTACTACTAAAAAGAAAGGTAATACATTTAAATAAGCAAATACAAAATACAAAAAAGGCTGACAAATCCAATGTGCAGTGTCAGATGAAATCTAAAAAATCCAGAAATTTAAAATTTAATATTCTTTAGATTAAGACTTTTAAAATGAAGTGAATCCAAGGCAGCAACAAGCTTCAAAGTGTGCTGAGTCTGCTAATAAAAAGGGTATAAGAACAAAGACAGTGCCGGTGTCCTCTCTCACCATCTTGCATGACCTTGGTACACTTAGAAATGATCCAATCTTCCTAGCATTCTTAGTACCGTCCAAATGCTTTGCAATCATTATGTTGTACTGATTCTACTCAACTCCTGCCGTATGGCTAGAAAACCAAACCAAAAGGTTAATGAGTAATGTCATACCCAGTGTGATGGAAAACGTTAAGTATAGAGGTTGCAGAAAGTACACGCTGGTAAAAGGATGAGTGGAGGGTAAAAGGATGAGTAAGGATAGGCAGCTGTTTGCTTGCAAACTGCAGTATTGGTGTAAGAAGTTGCATCTGCGGTTTATGTGAATGTCTTATATTGCACTGGAATGAACTAGGAAGGCTCTGAGGGCCAAGCTGCTGGGATGGTAGCAAGGGTCTCCTCAACTGCAAATTGCCCAAGGGTTTGTGAGCACACAGGTCTAGAGCAAGGGGACGGGGAATGGATTTTAGCTGTTTTACAGTCTCCTCTCTTTCCCCTTCTGTGTGAATCTAAGATGGGGAGCACAGGGTGTGGAAATGCATCTTCATATGCCCTAATGTGGGCTTCAGATATGGATTTTGCTGCGCATTTCAATAATGGCCCTGAAAAACAACAGCAATTTGTAAAACAGTACTGATACATTTAGTACAGTTGTACTTTTCAATAAGTTATAAAAATACATGGCTATTTGGAAAGCTGGA